AATGAACGAATAAACAAGTATTTTGTATTTATTCATTTGAGAGAGAGTGTGTACATGAATATGAGAACCTGAGCAAGGAGAGGGTCAGGGGAGAGGGAGAAGCAGACTCCCCACTGAGCAGGGACCCCTGACTCAGGGCATGATCCCAGGACCCTGGGATCGTGACCTGAGCTGAAGGCAGGCACTCAACCGACTTAGCCACTCAGGTGCCCCAAGTTTTAGTTCTCTTGAGTAGTTACCTAGTAGAATTGGTGGGGTATATGGAAACTGTGTTCAACATTTTAAGGAATTGCCAAACTTTTCCAGTCCCATCAGCAACAGATGAAGGTTCCAGTTTCTCTGCATTCTGTCCAACACTTGTTATTTTCTATTTTATCTTTTGATTTATAGCCATTTTAAAAGGTATGGAGTGGTATTGTGTTTTTTTCATTTCTCTAATGACTAATAATGTTGAACATCTTTCTGTGTGCTTATTGACCATTCATATATTTTTGGGACAATGTCGATTCAAATCATTTGCTTTTTTTTTTAACTTTTCAAAAAGTTAATAATTTCTTTTTAGAATGGTTTTGGATTTACAGAGAAATTGAGCAGATACTACACAATTTCCATTAACTACCCTCCTACCCCCAACATGGACAATTTCTTCTATTGTTAATGTATTAGTAAGTGCATTTGCTGTAGTTAATGAACCAATATTGATATATTAATATTAACTGAAGTTTATTCACATTTCCTTAGTTTTTACCTAATATCCTTTTCCTATTTTGGAATCCCATCCAGGATACCTTATTGCATTTAGTGCTCATGTCTCCTTAGTCTCTTCTTGGGTGCAACAATTTGTCACACTTTGCTTGTTTTGGGGAGACCTTGAGAATTTTGAGGTCTACTGGTCAGATATATTGTAGAATGGCTCTCCATTGGGATTTGTCATCATAAGACTATGGCTGTGGAGGACGGAAATCACAGGTAAAGTGCCCCTTTCATCATATCATATAAAGGGTACATACTGTAAACATGAAGTAGTGTTTGTCAGGGTTCTCCACTGTTAGGTTATGTCCCTCACCCCATTTCTTTTTTAAAAAATTTTTTTTTAATTTTTACTTATTTATGATAGTCACACACAGAGAGAGAGAGAGAGAGAGGCAGAGACACAGGCAGAGGGAGAAGCAGGCTCCATGCACCGGGAGCCCGACGTGGGATTCGATCCCGGGTCTCCAGGATCGCGCCCTGAGCCAAAGGCAGGCGCCAAACCGCTGCGCCACCCAGGGATCCCCCTCACCCCATTTCTATACTGTCCTCTTTGGAAGGAAGTCACTATGTCCAGCCTGCACCTAACAAATGGGGAGTTATGCTCCCTCTGCCGTTTTTATTATTGAGTTGTAAGAATTCTTTATGTATTCCAAACACAGATCCTTTATCAGATAGATGATTTGCAATTATTTTCTCCCCATCAGTGGGTTGCCTTTTCATTTCTTGGTTGTCCTTTGAAGCACAAAAAGTTTTATTATTTTTTAAAAAGATTTTGTTTATTCATGAGAGACACAGAGAGAGGGAGAGAGAGAGGCAGAGACATAGGCAGAGGGAGAAGCCAGGCTCCCTTCAAAAAGCCCGGTGCGGGACTCCATCTCGGATCCCCGGATCAGGACCTGAGTCGAAGGCAGACACTAACTGCTGAGCCATCCAGGCATCCCTATTTTTTTGTTGTTGTTTTTTTGAAGAGTACGTGTATGTGTGAGTGGGGCGGGGGGGGGGGGTGGAGCAGAGGGAGAGTGGCAGACAGAATCCTAAGCAGCCTTCATGCCCAACACGGGGCTCCATCTCAAGACCTTGAGATCATGACCTGAGCCGAAATCAAGAGTCAAACACTTAACCAACTGAGCCATTCAAGGCTCCCCAAGATTTTAGTTTTGATGAAGTGCAACTTACCAGTCTTCTTGTTACTCTTTTTAGCACTGTGTTTCAATATCTTAGCTACGAAATCATTACCAAAATCATGAAGATTTACTCTTGTGTTTTCTTCTAAGAGTTTTATAGTTTCAGCTCTTACATTCAGTTATCTGATCTGCTTTTAATATTTTGTGTGTGTGATGTGAGACAGAGTCCAAATATATTTATTTACATGTGGATATCCAGTTGTCCCAGTACCATTAGTTGAAAAGCTGTTCTTCTTGGTCCCTTTGTCAAAAATCGGTTGACTAACTATAAATGTCAGAGTTTCTTTATGGATTCTCAGTTCTAATTCCCTTGCTCTTTATTAAATCTATCCTTTGCCAGTGCCACACTGCCTATATTACTGCAACTTTGTTTTTGAAATCAAAAAGTGTGAATCTACCATCTTTGTTCTTTTTCAAGATCATTTTGGCTGTTACATGTCCCTTGCATCTTCATTTGAGTTTTAGGATTAGTTTGTCAGTTTCTGCAAATATAAGCACTCTTTAAACAGTTATTATAAAACAACAAATCTACGGCCTTCAGCTGAAGTCATGAAATGCCTGTACTTCTGAAAATGGGCCTGTACTTCACAGAGTATGTTATGTGTTCCACCCTCTAGGATACCTAAATACCTTTTTTTTTAATATATCACATTTTCTTTATCCATTCATTCATCAGTGGATACTTAGGGTTGTTTCCATGTCTCACCCTCTGTAAATAATGCTACAGTGAACATGACAGTGCAGATAATCTTTTCAGAATAGTGATTTCATTTCCTTTAGATATATACCCAGAAGTGGAGTTGCTAGATGGAGTAAACCTAATACTTTGAACAACTTCCCTAACTTTCTCATTCTTCATTCAGACAGTATCTCTTATGTACCTGCTATGTGCCAAGGTCAGTGCTCCAGTCTCACAGAGGTGATATATTAAACAAATAACTGAGAAACACTATCACAGGGGTTTTGCTAGAGATATTTGTGCAAGGGAGTAGGAACCCAAGGGAGTGGCTAACCCTAACCAAATGTGGACTCTGGCACTTCTAAGAGCTCTACATGTATTAACTCGTCTTTATAAGTTCTGCAAAGTGGGTATCATCTTTCTCCCCATATTACAGAGGAGGACTGGGTCAGTGTTCCATAGCCTTTAGAATGCTTCCTAATAAACGTAATTGCCTCAAACTTTCCTTTAAAATTCTTTGAGATTTCAAAGTCAGTGTACACAACCTGTTTCCCACCCAGCCTTTGGCATTCCACCACCTAGGAGATAAATGACTATTCCCCTGCCTCCTCCCCTAAGATTCTCAGCTAAGTTGAAAAACTGGTGTTCTTCCAGCAGGTAAAGACTCTGGGGTAGAATAACTTGCACAGTCAACTGTTTGGGGATGGGTGAAGAATTTTGAAGTTTTCCGAGCAGATAAAATGAAGGATTCAACTAGGATGGTGCTGCAATAGAATGGAAAGGGCCAGAATTTACAGGAATGGCTTAATGAATGCCATAACGTACAGTGAAAAGATTCACTAAACCATTTGGGTTAAATGCGCTTAGAAATTTGTGAATGGGATAGAATTGTCTGCTATGATGTGGAAAGTAAGCTAATTTCAAAAAGATATGTACTGTGTGGGGCATTAGGATTTCGAGGCTGCCTTATGTCAATAATTGAAATCTGTGCAAGCTTGTGGAATCCAGTACACATTGATCCATCTAGTATTTGTTGACTCTAGATATTTTTAAACACTGTGTCCTATCCTAGCATAGTTATTAAGTTTATCATTTTAACTGTTCTCAGGTCCAGTAAGATAAGAAAGAAAGCAGAGCAAAGGAAAAGCACTTTTTCTTTAAATGGCAGGCACTGTACCAGGTGGTGTCTTACATATATTATTTAATTTAATCCTCAAAGTAGCACTGAGGTAAGTGTACTTCATACCCTCTTTTTCAAAGGCGGAAACTGAAACTTACTCAGAGAGGTAAGTGCTATCACAGAGCCCACCTGCCTTCAGCGTTGCCATTCTTTTCTCTCAGAATTGCTGCTCTTAGTACCAGTTGAGACATGGGTAGAGAAGCTCTAAGAAAACACTATTGATAGCATTGGTTGAGTGCTATTTTGTACTGGGTTTTATGCTGGGCAGTATGGAAGGAGAAAGATCAAGACAATCATGATCCTTACCCTCATGGAATTTATATTCTAGTGAGTATTAGATGTTTAGGTTGATTTACATTTAGCTTTATCTGTTTAATGCAGGTATTTTGTTACATGTGTGTAGGCATCTAAATATACATATACACATATGCATATATATAGCTTGGTGTTTTCCAAAAAGAGCAAGGATAAAAATATTTTCTGTAGATTAACAAGTTTAGGGAGCTTCTTTATACTTCATCTTTTACCTAGGATTTCAAGAGACACTGTACAGTAAAACTTATTTATGAATTGCATTTACATTCTGCTTAAAAAGATTTTTTGTTTTTTAATGTTTCATAGTAGAAAATTTAAATTTATTAAAAAGTAGAAAGTGTACTAAACCTACATATATCTGTCACTCAGCTTCATAATTATTAGCTTATGGCTGGTCTTTTAGGGAAATAGTTACTACAAGTAATTTGTTTCAAAACTAATATTCACCGTACACATTTATCTCTTTTGTATAGGTTTTGTGTAAAATTGTTCTTTTTAAAGCGATAACTTATTTATGACTAACTTATAAGGGTTGTATTGTGGATCTGTTTTATTAATGTTTTAGAATGGAAGCTTCTTAAGACTCTGCATTACATGTATATCTCCATATTCAATTGTCCAGTTAAGTACATTTAAATAGGTAACACTTAAAGAAAGGCAGTTGTTCAAAATTAGCTGTTTGTACCAACTACATTTTAGTACAGAGGTATCATGTTTTGCATAAAAGAACAAAACCAATGGTACAGTGCACTAACTTTTAAGTTGCAATTCGCTTTTTGAGTTGGCTCTTTTTTGTTGCTGTTCGTCACGTGATTAAATTCATTAAAGTGTAGCACATGATTTTTTTTTTATGATTGTGTACTAATTTGGATTTATTTCTTTTGGGCAGAAGAAAATGTACAACTTACAACTGGAACTCTGCTAAAATCTACTGAAGAAGTACAAGGTATGAAGGTCAATGGGACTAAGACGGATTATAATGAAGGACACAAGAATGGCAATGTGAGTAAAGATCTCTCATCTGGGTTCAGCGAATACCCAGAGATAGACAAAATCATGACCAGTGGTGAGGTTTCAGAAACCAGCACATTAGTTTCCCTAGAGCCTTTAACCTTTGTGGACCCTGGAATAACAGAAGCAACTGCTAAAGAAAAAGAATGTGAAGAATTAAAAACTTGTCCTTCTTGGTTGTCATTGTTACCAGGGAGCAGTGCCATTTCCAAAGTGGACAATGGGAAGGAAGAGGTGTGTAAGTTAAACCTTGTCTGTGAAGCAGATGACAATCACCAACAGATTCACAGCCACCATAATGAAAAACACATTTCTGCCCATGGCAGTCCCAAAGCCACAAGAAATGTAATTGTTATAGAACCCTTAGAAGAAAACTCTGACATTTCATATTTCTCATCAAGTTTGTCTGGTCCAGAATCCAGAACACCATCCTTAGAAACATGTGGTTTTGAAGGTGATGGCTTGCTGAAGGGATCTGCTGAGAAGACAAACAATTCCTGTTTTGATGGGGATGATCAAAGCAAGAACATAGCTACTAGAAAAGAAAATGAGCAGTTTTTGAACCACAGGAGTGAAAGAGGAGAACTCTTTCTTGGTAATGCCAGGCAACCAAGAGAGGATGCTAGTGGTCATCGTTCTGGTGAAAAAGAGACTGTTGCCTCCTCCAAAGAGAATATCTATGGTAACTTTTGCATTCAAGGCAGTATCCATACAGACAGCTCTAGTTCTTCAATGCCCCAATTGTTCACTGAAGCCACAGAAGTAATGCTTAAAAAAAATGATCTGAAAAACACGTTAGACATTCAGGGTGGTTTGACAAACCATGAGGACCATAGAGAAACTTCTACTGGTATGAGCCATTCAGGCAGACACACTGAAGAGAGCAGTTTTTCCTCCTCAATGCAGATTGAAGAGCCAGAACAGACAACCACTATAGAGCCCAATATGGTAACTGAAAAGATTTATAGTAAAGACTCTAATTCATTCTGCTCCAAGAGAAATCTGGAAGATGACACCCAGTTAAATGAAGTTTTATACAATGAATTTCTGACTGAAAGAAAATCCCTTGTGAGTTTAAGGCATGAGGACCAGATAAGTCTTATGAATGAGGTATCAAAACCCAAGAAAGATGTTGCTCAGTTACCACCATCCCTAGAATTTGATTATAGACCTGAGTTAGAACAAGCTATACAGACTGCCCAGGATGATAGTTCACATTTAGGTGAACGGAACATTGCCTATGAGATGAATGAACTTCCTTGCACCAATGAACTGGTTGTAAACAAAATAGAAAGTGAATGTGTTTTAAATCAAGTGCCCCTTAATTCTCAAGACCACTTGAAGTTGCCAGCTAATAAAGAGATGCCTTTAACAACAAGTGAGGATTCCCAACAGAGCCATCACCCTCCATTAGAGGATGGAGTAGATGTCATTGCTGATACCCAAACCATTTCCATGAAGACAAAAATGAAAGACATCTCTCCATCAGGTGACAAAACCTGTGGTGCCTCTTCAAGCAACCCTACCTTAAACATCAAAACAGGAAGCCTAGAAACAAAGAAAGAAATGGCTGATTCTGGAATAGTAGACCTACATTCCAGACTTCTCTCAAGTAAGAAAGAAGCAGCAGGCTTGCTTCAAGAGGTCTCTGCTATGGAATGTCAAAGTGCTCAATCTCAGGATCTCTCTAGCTGTCATTATGTAAGTAAAAATGCACAAGAAAAGAGCATGTGTTCTGCTTGTGCTACTTTTAAGTCCGGCAGAATCATCCCAAACGTTGAGAACTCTTTGATGACTACGTGTGAAGATGCATTTCAGCACAGCAATCGCCATTCCCAAGGAAAAGAAGACTCCACAGAAAGTAGCACCCATAAAGTGAGTTACACATTGGAGGACAGTGAACTTGCTAGGGGAGAAACTAGAGGCAGCCTCCCAGAAAATAAGATGAGAAATGAAATGGCAGCAGACGTGTTAAATGGTGAAGCTTCTGACAAGACCATTCCCACCACCAATCACACCCAGCTCAGTGAGGAAAGGCTAGAAGGAAAGGAACAGGATGTACCTAAAGAGACTGTGTTTTGCAAGTGTAATGTCTCTGACTGTGCCACACCAGAACTAAACTTATTTGCAAACATTCCAAGCCCTGAAAAATTGTTGGACCAGTCTCCTAGTATTATGTTTCCCAGTTTCAAAAACTTGAGCCAAGCATTTGAAACTCTTGATCAGAAAGCAGATAAAGTCCTTGACTGCCAGGTTAACCAAAACAGACCAGATGAATGCAGAAGTGAAGATAAACCAGCTAAGGAGATACTAGGTGGTGACAAAAGAGAGACTGTCACAGAACTTTACAGAGAGATAAGCCACAACCAAAATGAACTGCTAGTTGGTTCAGACAGTAACAACCCATTGTCCAGTGGTAGTTCAAAGAAAGGCTATTTGAAAGGAGACTCTGAATGTACTTCTGGTTGTGAGGCATCCACAGATGGCATGGTAGACATCATCTACACGAATTGTAGTAATATGTCTCCAGAAGATGTGTTGGACTTAAGAGCATCTAGTATTCTTGACGGTGGTACAAGGCAAGACAGACTGACATTACAGGAAACTGCAGTGAGTACTCAGTCTCAAAGAGGAGAACTAAATGCTGCATTTATCAGAATGATTGGCCAGGACTCAGATTTTCCAGATGCTGCTTCCTCTAAAGGGGAGCCTCTGGAAATTAAAAAATCATGTGAAGAGAAAGTATACAGATCATTAAAAGATTGTGAAATGGAAGTGTGTCCAGACTCTTGTGCGCATGACATAGAGTCTATTGCAGATCATGAACCAAATTTAAGAACATTGGATAGAGTAAATGTATCCTTAGATTATATTCATCATAAAAAGCAACTTAAAGAAGCATCCCGTAGAGAAACACAAGGAACGATTGAAGGATCAAGACCAGAAATAAATTCTGACTTTGACAAGGAGGAAAATACCTTTGGAATTTCCTTGAAACAGTTACTGCCTTCTCAATGCCCAGATGAGAACCCTATTTCCACAGGGAGCCTGCAAACCACTGAGATAATGCCTTTGTATCTGTCTTCTCACAAAAATTCAGAAAGGAATGTTAATAGTGAGGAAACTGACCTGGAAAATATTTTTAAACCAGAAGAAGTGCTTTGTGAAAGCATAGAGCACCGCACAGTCCTGCTTGAGACGAAGGAAGGAGCACCAGGGGATGGGAGTAATTCTAATGAAGAAGTCCGAATAGACATCGGTGTGCAAAATTTGCCTCTGACCGTGGAAACAGAAACAAAGTTGAAAGGCGAAAAAACTGAAGAACATCAGAGGGGACCCCTGGGTCATTTAACTGTCATGGAAGAGTCTGAGGACATGATTACCAGAGAAGCTGGTCATGGTAACAAAGGAAGAGAGATTTCTCAGACCCACTTGAAATCCCAGAGGATGCTTGGTGATGTTGCAGAGCAGCAAAGGCAGGGGGCTTTGGACTACATGTTGCAGAATGAAGAACATATACATCAAAAAGAAGCACACAAGATACCAAAACAATGCACCTCATCTAATATGTTGTCAGATGAGTTGCAAGAGAAGAACCAAGCTAAGCATTGCAAAAGTGAGTCTACCATGATGAAGGAAATCCCCCTAGCAAAGCTGGCCAAGGGTGGCACTACTGCACAGTTTCAGAAGTTGGAAGATCCAGAGGAGGGAAGCTTGTGTCGTCCATTTAAAAAGGACATAGAGTCGTGCACAGGTCCTTGCCTTCATGGTGCCCCTCAGAAAGCACAAGACCCCAACTGTGCTGGGTGTGATGAAATACATGGTGCCTTTGGAAACATTTCACATCAGAAGAGAGTGCTTCCCTTAAAGAAGCAGCCCCATCGAACATGTAAGAAAGTTTCCTGTCAGGAGCAAGTCAACCTGGGGAAAAAAATAAGTAAAATCAGGAGTTCGGCCATTTTAAAGAGTTCCTCTGAAACCATCCCCACAAAAGCACACAGGTTTCTCAGTTCACGTGCTGTGCCTGCACCCGCACAGTTGGAACCCGAAACAGTACCAACCAGAAGCTTATTGAGCCACATACCAAAGCAGAAGGCGTCTCCGTGCCATCCCTTGAGGAGCCTGAATGTTAGGAAGCCTACCAAAGAATCAGCCTTACTCAACAAGCTGTCCATTCTTGCCTCCAAACTGGTCCCAGCCACGAAGACCCAGAAACTAAGATATCGGCGGTGTTCCTCTGAACTTCTTCCAGTGACTAAAAGCTATAAGCAGCACAGATACAAAAGACTTCTGGATGGCTTTTCATACAATCTAATGCAGCTGAATCCATATTTGGCAGCTAGTGGATGGGACAAGAGGCTTAACAGTAAGCCCTTGACACTTTATTCACTTGAAGCCATCAAAATGAGCTTCATAGATTTGAGCAACAAGGTGCCGTCACTGCTGTTTGGTTCTGAAATTTTCCCGGTATCTTTTCACATGAAATCGGGCTCTGAGTGCATGACCGAGTCTCCGAGGACTTTTCCTGAGCACTGTGCTCCAGCCAGGCTCGCCTTAGGAGAGGCCCCCAGGTGCCTGTCTCAGCCTCCCAAGTGGACCTTTTCTTTCTTCTTGTCTCACAGTTGCCCTGGGATGGCCACATTCAGGGAAGACACTGGCCTCCGTGGTCAGGCAGGTGCCCAGGCTCCTTCACAGCCTTCAGGTCCTCTTCAGGACTGTGGAGGCACTGCCATAGTTCAGACCAGAGCAGGCTGCTCTGTCCTTGGCCTTCACACACTTCTAGCACTTTGTTCTCCTGGATGTTACCGAATCTGGACAAAAAAACGGAGCTTCTCCAGTCACATGCCTACCATGCAGAGGTTCTTCATGACCCAGTTTACACAGGGCTTAAAAGGGTTAAGGTCTCCAGCCTCCATAGCAGACAAGGTCTTCTGTTCTCTTCCCTACTCGGTGGGCCGAGTGCTATCCATTTGGAGCCAGCATGGGCCTTCTGCCTGCCCCTTCGAAATCTCTACTCTTCATTCCGCTCACAGCAAGCGGCAGCCAGCTCTAAGCACCATAAGCAGGTAAATCCATCTTCTTTTCAAATGTCCCATGTTTGCTTCAACCTCTGGGGAGAGTTGAGGACTGGAGTGCAAGGCTCTTTAGAGATTTTGTGTCTGCGTTTTCTGTTTACCTTAAATCTCTGCTGAGAAAATATAGCCATAAGTCTTATGTGTAGACCTCTTTAATTTTCCTGCAGAATCTACCTCTGTATTTTTACCATTTTTTTTTGTTGTATCCATGTCATTCTTCTGCAAACTGTCAAATCTTTCGAATCTCTTTTCTACCCTTGTCCCCGCCTTGTAAAAAACAAACACCATTACATGTTAAAGACTTATAGTGACAAACAATGGCTTGTAACTATATCTTATTGACAAAATATTACAGTCAGCATCTAATTTGGTGTTTGATATATAAAAGATACAGAGTAAATACTTAAGTAAATAAACAATTATGTAGGTATCACCAAATCTACTTCATGAACCTCTGGATTTCTCTCTGGAGCAGAGAGGCTTCAAAGACTGACATTTAGGGGCGCCTGGGTAGCTCAGTGGTTGAGCATCTGCCTTCGGCTCAGGTCGTGATCCTGGAGTCCTGGGATTGGGTCCAGCATCAGGCTCCCTGTAGGAGAGCCTCTGTATGTCTCTGAATGTCTCTCTGTATGTCTCATGAATAAATAAATAAAAATATTTTAAAAATTGACATTTACATACTATAGTTGTACAGTTGCTAGAATTTTAAGTGAACTGGAGAAGAGTGGTTTGACCACTTAGAATAGTTAAAAATAATTTCACTGAGGGCAGCCCAGGTGGTTTAGCACCACCTTCAGCCCAGGGCCTGATCCTGGAGACCTGGGATCGAGTTCCACGTCAGGCTCCCTGCATGGAGCCTGGCCTGCTTCTCCCTCTCCCTGTGTCTCTGCCTCTGTGTGTGTGTGTGTGTGTGTGTGTGTGTGTGTGTATCTCTCATGAATAAATAAATAAAATCTTTAAAAAATAATAATTTCACCGGGATCCCTGGGTGGCTCAGTGGTTTAGCACCTGCCTTCAGCCCAGGGTGTGATCCTGGAGTCCCGGGATCAAGTCCCACATTGGGCTTCTGCATGGAGCCTGCTTCTCCCTCTGCCTGTGTCTCTGCCTCTCTCTCTCTCTCTCTCTCTCTATCTCTCTCTCTCTCTCTCCCTGTCTCAAATAGATAGATAGATAAATAAAGTCTTTTAAAACATAAAAATAATTTCACCAATATCATTTTACTTTTTTTTTTTTTTTTTTTAAGACTTCATTATTGGGACACCTGGGTGGCTCAGCGTTTTAGCTCCTGCCTTTGGCCCAGGGCATGATCCTGGAGTCCCAGGATCGAGTTCCATATTGGGCTGCATGGAGCCTGCTTCTCTCTCTCTCTCTCTGCTTGTGTCTCTGCCTCTCTCTCTCTCTCTCTCTCTCTCTGTCTCTCATGAATAAATAAATAAAATCTTTAAAAAAAAAAGACTTATTTATTAGAACAGGGGGAGAGGCAAGAGGAGATGGAAAGAGAATCTCAAGCAGACTCCCCACTGAGCACGGTACCCACATGGGGCTGGATTCCACAACCCTAAGGTCATGACCTGAGCCAAGATAGAGAATGGACCACTTAACTGACTGAGCCACCTAGGCACCTTTCATTTTACCTCCTTATTGGAAATAAGAGGAAAAAGAATTTGATAAAAAAGCAGAAACTAAAAAACTTTAATTGGCCCTCATCATTGCTACAGTTTAAAAATTCAACACCAGCAAAGCCTTAAAATTACAAATAGCCTGAGAGAGACCTTGTTCTTTGTGTAACTGTACAATCTCTTATCCAGAATCATTCTGTGTCACTAAAACTCTGGTGCATACTACAAAGTTCCCTGAGCATCTTAGCAGAAAACTAAATAAAAAAGGTTTCAGAAAAACACCCCAGAACCTGAATGTGGCTGATTGAAACTGAAAGATGAATGCCTTATAAGTACTTATCCTATAGTTAGGTAATAGATATTCTTACAATGCAGCTACAAAAAATACACTGGAATTAGTGAAATTGTTTTGAATGGTCGTATACTGCTTTTATTTTGTCTAATTTGTCAGTATGCCTCTATAATCTCATAATCACACTTTGCTCAGTGTCTGACATGCAGACACTTTAAATCGTGTTACCTTCTCTACCCTGTGTTCATGCCTGAGGTTAGAATATAGGCTCATTCTTTACTGTACCCTCTGAAGATGTGTGGCTTTTTGGCCTTTTTTCTCCATCCAGAACTTTTCTCTCCTAACTGCTGTTTCCTAGTGTAGAATATTTTTTCTCTCCTTTCCTTCCTATGTCCAACATTTTATTTTGTTTTATTTATTTTAATTCAAGTGGAATGTCAGAGGGGGGGCACGTTGAGAAATATTTCCTTCTTCTTAGCTCTAGAAGTGCCTTAACATCATACGCCTTGGCTTTGAGTTTAGAAGTTTGATCTTTTTCTAAACATACTTAGAAATATTAAGCATGATAAATTGGGTAGCCCAAGAAAGCAGGACTTAACAAATGTTAATTTATTGTTTCCATAGGATTTTTTTAAGTTTTATTTTTTTATTTTATTTTATTTAATCCACACTTAATGTAGGGCTTGAACTCATGACCCCAAGATCAAGAGCTGCCTGTACTTCTGACTGAGGCAAGCAGACACTCCCAAAGGGTTTTCTTATTTGAACCTTCAGCAATCTCTAATATAGGTTGAATGGGCCTCTTTTTTGCTGTTTTTATAGATGATGAGGCTGAGGCACATGGGTTTTTCTAACCCAGATCAGATTAGTGTTTCAGCTAATCAGGGTCTCCTTGATTTCTGATTTGGTCAAATCCTTTTCAAGAATATATACCCTGCCTCTTTCCTTTGAGTTCCCATCAGGGAATCCTGAGTTAGTGCTAAACATTCTAAAAATCTGAATTACCTATGTTTTCTAGACATTGAGGAAATCTACTTATAAGAGGAGATGGATTGTATTATGGTTCTTGTATATATGCCTCACTAATTAAGCCTGTACTGTGTTCCAAATTCAGTAGAAACTGATAGGGTTTTACTTTGAGAGGCACAAAAAGCTCTCCACTATCATATTGATGTATCTATAAATGATAAATACCATTCCATCATCTATAAAAATAAAAGCTTAATTATAAAGGAGCTAACCCTGATAATGTTTTTTTTTCCTATATAACCATGTTTTATTTATTTATTTAGATTTATTTATTTATTTGATAGAGTGTGAAATAGCACAAGCAGGGGGAGCTGGAGAGGAAGAGGGAGAAGCAGGATCCCTGCTGAGCAGGGAGCTTGATGGGCTCGATGTGGGGCTTGGTCCCAGGACCCTGGGATCACAACCTGAGCCAAGGCAGACACTCAACATGCTGAGCCACCCAGATGCCCCCATAACCATGTTTTGTGTGGAACTTGCCTGTAAAGGAAATAAGGTTTCTTCATAGTCTTCTCTAAGGGTATGGAAATTAGATATTATTTTAATGGCATTAACATAGAAATGAATAATGCAAGATTTTTTATATGTAAGTTTTTTTTTATATTCAGCAACCTGATTAGAACATATAAGACTCAAAATCATTCTTGTTCCCTCCTTTTTTTTTTAAGATTTTATTTATTTATTCGTGAGATACACAGAGATAGAGATAGAGAGAGAGAGAGAGAGAAAGAGAGAGAGAGGCAGAGACACAGGCAGAGGGAGAAGCAGGCTCTGTGCAGGGAGCCTGACATGGGACTCGATCCCGGGTCTTCAGGATCAGGCGCTGGGCTGAGGCGGCGCTAAACCGCTGAGCAACCCATGCTGCCCTGTTCTCCTCCTTTCTTTTACTACCCTCTCTTTATTTCTCTACTTTCTCTACATATTAGAAAATAAGCTTCCCATCAGCCTCTCTCCATTCCAGTGATGGGCGCATAAATGTAATTCTGTGATTGGGTGAGGCGAGGTTCTTCTTTCTGAGTGACTGACATTTCTTGTCTTTCTAAGGTCTAATCGAATATCATGTGCCATCAATGGTATTAAAACCTTTGAGTACCTGCAGTGGCATCAAAACTTTCCCATTGTTCCATTGCCCTAACCTATTGCTTTATACTTTTGCTTCACTTCAGCCACACCATGTTACCACATGTGCCTCTTCCAGGCCTGGAAGCTACTTACAACGCCAGTGGCAATCAGATGAGGTAAGTCTCCAGCAGCACCTGGTATATAAGGGCTTGCAGTGTGTGTGTGTGTGTGTGTGTGTGTGTGTGTGTGTGCGTGTGCGCACACACGCATGCGTGAAAGAAGAGTGAATGTACAAGCAAACACAGCACCTGAGTGGGCGTTCTATCGGATGGCATGGGTCGAGGACAGCATGATTCTGACACTTTGTTCTCCTTCTAAACCTGATCCAAGATTCAGGTGTGTTTTATTCTAAGTAGCAACTAAGGATGTGTAATCAGTATCATTTATTGAAAAAAAATCAAAATCACTAGCCAGCTCATTGTACCACTGGTTCCCTCTCAAGCTATTTCTTGCTCATAGAGCCAGCTTCATTGCCTTAATGGGATTGATCTCATCTGAGCAGTCCATTTGTTCATTTTACTAAATGCCTTTTTCCTCCAAAAGTCTGTACCTTTTTACATTTTTCTTTATAAAATTGCTCTACACCAATGAGAAATGGATTGACCACATCCTTGTAATTTTCGTATATAGACACAGGCTGTGTCCAGAAGTAACTAGAGAACAGATTGACTTGAAATGTCATTGCTAGGAAAAGGGAAGATCTTCAACTTTAGTCTAATATTAAGAAGTTGGAGGTAGAAAGTGAAACCTGTATCATATTTTCTTTCTCTGTTTTTCTTTCCATGGTGCTAGACTAGAGCCTCCATTCCCTGCCTTGGTACCAAAGTCTTGCTTGGTAACAGATTCAGCTGTCAGCAAGCTCCTGCTTTCAGCCTCCGAGTTCCAGGTTCCTGAATTTGATGAGCTGGATAGTGTGGCAGCAGCATGCCCCCATCCACAGAGCAGCCCTCCAGAACAGAAGAAGGTAAACGTAAAGTGCTGGTACAGAGTTGGGGCAGCATTAGAAGTGTCCATTGAGGACCACAGATCACATGATGGGTGCACACAGGCCCGAGTATCTTTGCTTATCACCTTAGCTTTAGTTGAGTGCTGGAGATTGCCAAGGCAGGAGTTTTTTTGCTTGGCCACTGAAAGCTACTCTGGGTCTTATAATCTACATTGTTTTTTAGATCCTTTTTTCATGATGATAGCATTTAGTAGTATTTAGAGAGTTGGACCAAAGATCTGCTTCATGCATTCAAAGATGAGTGAACAATGGTATTTTTCAATTTTGCAATCTCTGTCTCCAACAGTTATAGGCTTTCATATTACTAGTCTCACTATCTGAGTTGAATGTACGATTCTCTTCTAATAATATAAAGGGAATGGTTGCTGTCAGCAGGAATATGTAGAACTTTGTCATAAACTACACATTAGAGTCATCTATAATCTGAGAAAGCACAATCTTCGCATGTTAAGACAAGGAACTTTATGTATTTAAAATGTCTTATAACTTTACCATCTTTCTTCTTAACCCTTAAAAATAGGCTGAGCCAGAGAAGAGGCCAAAGAAAGTCTCACAGATTCGTATCCGGAAAACCATTCCTAAGCCAGACCCTAACCTTACCCCCATGGGCCTTCCTCGACCCAAAAGGTGAGCTCCTTCTCAAATACACATAGGGTCACTTTTTTGGAAAATCATTTGGTAGAATATAATGACCTTTTAAATGGTCATATATTCTGAACTATTTATTATAGTTCTAGGAATTTGTCCAAAAGAATTAATTGGTAATGTGACCAGAGATTTACATGCCAGGGATATTATGATGCATTCTCAATCACTTTAATCAAACTTACTATGCCAGATATTGTGCTGTCCCTTTGCGTACATAGTCTTTTCGTCTCTCAGTGGTGCTGGGAGGTCAGCACCATTGTCAGCCTTAGGTTTAGATGAGGTTGCTGAGGCCCAGTGGTTAAGACACCCGTGGTAGACCATGGCATTGGTCATAGCTCAGGTGGTTTCTCTCTCACACAGGTTTTACCCAACCCCATAGCCCATGCTTACAGCATTCTGCGTGCAGAATTGAAAAGGGACATAAATGTCATGAGGGGAAGAAGCTTTTTTTTTTTTTTTCTTTTAAGGAAAATGCCCAATCCGTGCTATGGTCTATATCATGGCCTTTAAAAACTTGGTTTCTAAACATTTATTTTTTTATAAGGTTAGATAATTACTAACCTTATAAAGGGAAGTGGAAAGAAAAATCAAGTTACCAAATTATGTATTTGGTGTACTATATATTACACAGATGCCCTATAAAAATAGAAATATTTTATAAAAAGGTCTCCAGATCTCCAGAGTTATGTTTTCTTGTGGTGGATTTCATTCCTTCATTTCTTATTGGCAAATAGAAGCCTAATAGTAGACCCTGAAGTAGCCCCAGGGTAACTTATTGAACATTTTTGAGCCTCAAGAGCATGTCTGTAAAGTGTAGTAAGAATTCCCAACACTTAAGATTGCTGTACAGTCTAGTTGAGGAAAAAATGTGTATTACATTGCTTCACACAACACAAATGCTTTAATTACCTATTACTATGATCATAATTGACATTCCATTTTCCCACATAATTTTTGTCTTAGTATATTTTTATTTTACAATTCTTTTATTGATCATCCTACCATATGTCTTTACAAGAGAAATTTTTAAATACTTCAGATATCCTAGGTTGAATGGTACTTATTGCTAGAATGAAATAGGATTCAGAATTAAATGTATTCTACCTTGCATATATATGTAGATAAAAGTTCTAAAAAACGTTTTTAATATAAGTAAGTACTTGGGAGTAGAGAGAGTTTTAATATAGTAATGACATTCAATCATTTGAACTTTTTTCAAGTAATATGCCAAAAAAAGCACAGAGTGGTCTGTTATATTAAATTATACTTAATGATTGTTACCTAATTTTTTTTTGAAAGCAAAGGATTGAAAAGTGTTGACTTACATAAGTTCTGTTACCAGGCATTGAAGCAGTGAGTATCTCATTGTATGAGCAACATACCAACAAGATCTGACCAGTAAGTGTCAGATGCCCAATAATTTGTATGCTGATCTGGGCAGCCCAGGTGGCTCAGCGGTTTGGCGCCGCCTTCAGCCCAGGGTTTGATCCTGGAGTCCCGGGATCGAGTCCCACGTCTGGCTCCCTGCATGGAGCCTGCTTCTCCCTCTGCCTGGGTCTCTGCCTCTCTCTCTTTCTCTTGTCTCTCATGAATAAATAAATAAATAAAATCTTAAAAATAAATAAATAAAACCTCCTTTATTAAAAAATAATAATAAATAAAATCATATGTAACAAATATTAATTTATTTTAATACTGCTTTATTAAAACAACATGGTAATGCTGTTTCTCATTATTGGATTTGTAATAAACCAATGTAATGTGTAGCTAGAATAATAAACTAGGAAGGGAGAAGTATGGTAGAAATCATGATAATACTTCAGTAAATGTGTATGCATACAGGAATGAAACAATGTTATTGGACTTTTAGGAACAATTAAGAGTCATGCAAAAAATCAAATAAATCTAGTAATGTATGTAAATCTTAGAATTGCTTCAATGTTTAATGTAGATAAAGATGTATTATGAAACCAATTTGCATGGCAATATCATGTAATTTTTGCTGTTAACAGGAGTAGAAGTTATAACATTTTATAAACCAAAGTAAGATGAGGATTAAATAATTGGATTAAGTATTTCTTTATGTGATTTGATTTGTTAAAAGTTTATTCCTGGGCAGCCCGAGTGGCTCAGCAGTTTAGCACCGCCTTCGGCCTAGGGTGTGATCCTGGAGACCTGGGATCAAGTCCCATGTGAGGCTCCCTGCATGGAACCTGCTTACTCTCTCTGCCTGGATCTGTGCCTCACTCTCTCTCTGTCTCTCATGAATAAATAAATAAATAAATCTTTAAAAATAAATAAATAAAAGTTTATTCCCTAACTGGAGGAAATTACTTAAAATTGTTGTCTGTGGGTTTTGCACACTTTATCTTCAAATGTTTGATAGTTCTAGTAAACATTTCAATTCTATTTTTTTTTTAAGATTTTATTTATTTATTCATGAGAGACATAGGGAGAGAGGCAGAGACATAGGCAGAGGGAGAAGCAGGCTCCTCACAGGGAGCCTGATGTGGGACTCCATCCCAGGACCCCAGGATCATGCCCTGAGCCGGAGGCAGACGCTCAACCACTGAGCCACCCCGATGCCCCTCAGTTCTATTTTTTAAAAAAGAATTGACTTTTGAGTGGAACTTTCTAAGTGATAACAGACTATCAATGAAAATTGAGAATAGTTTGGAAGAAACATTGGGTACAGTTAAATACATGAAGATGCTATGTTGGTATTCAAAGCTCTCTTTCAGGGATCCCTGGGTGGCGCAGCGGTTTGGCGCCTGCCTTTGGCCCAGGGCGCGATCCTGGAGACCCGGGATCGAATCCCATATCGGGCATGGAGCCTGCTTCTCCCTCTGCCTATGTCTCTTCCTCTCTCTCTCTCTGTGACTATCATAAATAAATAAATTAAAAAAAAAATTCAAAGCTCTCTTTCATAGATAGGACCTCCTTCTTAAGGAAGCATTGTTTGATTACGATCAGGAAATAAATGAGACAGAGTCACCCTGACAAACCCACTCTGCAGCATATCTGAAATCTGAATATTTGGACACCAAAGTACCCTATTTCTAAAGCCACTCCTCTCTTAATGGAACTGTATGTAATGGGGAAAGACCAGTCCAATACAAGTTTACTGTGATTTCATTAATTACCGAAGAGGGCTTAGCAAGATCAGTGACGTGATTGATATACTGAAGTGGCATTCAGGATGGATATGTGCTGCTTTGCAAGAATTTGTGGGAATGGAGAAATCTGCATGAACATTTAAGGATGCTTCTCAAGATTAAAGCAGGAAATTAAAGATTGGGAGATTGATTCTGCTAAAACTGGGTGTTCTTGTACTCTGTGGCATGTCTTCTGGTACACTAATGTGAATACCACTGGTCTAGGATATTTATTTTTTTATTTTATTTTTATTTTTTATTTTTTATTTTTTTTTAGATTTATTTTTATTTATTCATGAGAGACACAGAGCGAGAGAGAGAGAGAGAGAGAGGCAGAGACACAGGCAGAGGGAGAAGCAGGCTCTGTGCAGGGAGCCCGACGTGGGACTCGATCCTGGATCTCCAGGATCAGGCCCTGGGCTGAAGGCAGCGCTAAACCGCTGAGCCACCCGGGCTGCCCTGGTCTAGAGTATTTAATAGCAACCTTATTTAGGTCTTGGGGGTTCATGTGTCTGTTGATACAATCAGGTGACAAACTACACAGTATTTTAAATAGGGGAACTTTAATAATATAAAATGTTAAATTATAATAAGAGAGTAACATGATGTATAGAGAATTCTGAAGGGTACCCTAAGACTGAGGGAAAATACTCAAGGAAGGACAAACTTGGAAGGGCAGCCACTTCCCTAGGCTGGCATTTAGGCTTTGTTGTAAAGGGTATGATTGCAACCCATTGGATGGCTAGGTTGCAAAGGCTAGAGCTAGGCAAGCAGGAAATAGCAACCACTTTGGTGCAGAGGAGCTGAGACAGGCAGGCAAGGGAATGGGGGTGCTACTGTGGATGTAAGGCCTGGAGCATGTGGTATTTCTTTCAGGAGGGCCACAGGAAACAGTCCTTAGGAAGCTGGGATACAAGGTTATGGCCTGGAGTGCCATGTATGTCAGGAAACATGTGACATGATCACCAGGCTAGGGTTGCCAGAGCACTGAGGGCCTGCATGCTCTGTCCACATAGCTAGGCTTAGCCCTCTCCTTAACATCCCAACAAACATGCACCAATGATGGGGGAAAAATTCAGAAAAGGAGTGAAATAAGAGACGTACTAATCCTAAGAGATACTACAGTATATTGTGAAGTCTCAATAAATAGAAAAGTGTAGTACCAGAGCATAAACATACAAATTGGTAAAGTAAAAGGGAAAGGCCAGAAATAGACACAAATACATAGGGAAATTTAGTGTGTGACAAAAGTGTCCCCTCCAATCAATGATAAAAAGATGGACTAGTCAGTAAAGAGCTGTTGGGGCAACTGGGTAACCATTTTAAGAGTAAGAAAATTGGGGGCCACCTGGCTGGCTTAGTGGATAGAGCATGTGACTCTTGATCTCTGAACTTGGGGTTGTAAGTTCAAGCCCTGTGTTAGATGTAAAGATTATGTAAAAATAAAATCTTTAACAAAACAAAAAATGAGAGTAATGAAAGTTGGATCTGTATTTTAGGCCTTTTACCAAAAGAAATTCCAAATAAATCAGAATTAGGTGGGAACAAATCAGACCATAGAAATAGTTGAGGAGGGCAGCCCAGTTGGCTCAGTGGTTTAGCGCCACCTTCAGCCCAGGGCGTGATCCTGGAGACCTGGAGTTGAGTCTCCTGTCGGACTCCCTGCATGGAGCCTGCTTCTCCCTCTGCCTGTGTCTCTGCCTCTCTCTCTCTCTCTCTCTTTCTCTCTGTCTCTGATGAATAAATAAATAAAATCTTAAAAAAAAAAAAGAAAGAAAAAGAAATAGTTGAGGAAACCATAGGAACTTTTTTTTTTTGTAAACTCTGCCCTCAACATGGAGCTTGAACTCACTACTCTAAGATCAAGAGTTGCATGCTTCACTGACTGAGCCAGCCAGATGCCCCTGGGCCATAGGAAATTTCTAACTGGAGTGGTTAACTAGAATATAAAAATCCATTGCCGTAAGATGGAAGTCTGAAAATATATTTCATAAAAATCTAGTACTTCTGCTAGAAAAAAGAAAGACACCATAAGCAAAGTCAAAACACAACTTGGGGGTACTTGGGTGGCTCAGTTGGTTAAGCATCCGACTCCTGATTTTGGGTCAGGTCATGATCTTGGGTCCTGAGACTGAGCCCCATGTCCAGCTCCACGCTCAGCAGGGATTTTAAGATTCTCTCCCTCTCCTACCATTCATCCTTTATGTGAAATAAATACTTAAAAAAATTATAATTAACCAGACAGGAGGAGTCCTCTCACAGTGTATATGTGTAACAGATCCTCAAGATGTGCACTTAAATATCTTAGAGTTTTGTCAGTTTTATGCCAATAAAGCTGAAAAACAGTAAAATTTTAAACTCCTCCCACAAACTCCTATCTCAAAAGGCTGATTTACATACATACACACATGTGCATGCACACGAACACACCAGGGTTCTACAAATTGACAAGAGAAAATTAAAGAGGGAGAAGAACAAGCAGACTCTGCTGAGCATGGAGCCCAATGTGGGGCTTGAGTTCACAACCCTGAGATGATGACCTGAGCAGAAATCAAGAATCAGACGCTTAACCAACTTAGCCATCCCTGTATCCCTACTCATTTTGTACATTTCCTGCTATAAACCTTTAATCAGTCTTTGAGGAGTCTTGGTTCATAGAGCATAAAATTCACCTCTTTATTTATTCATTTGCTTATGAGTATATTCAATTTATTTGTTGTTTATTCATTTTTTGCTACTACATGGAAGATAATAGCTTCAGGTCACCACACTTATCTCAGTAGAAACTTATTTTCAGAAAGCATAACTTTTATTTTTTTATTTTTTTAAGATTTTATTTATTTATTTATGATAGTCACACAGAGAGAGACAGAGAGGCAGAGACACAGACAGGCAGAGGGAGAAGCAGGCTCCATGCAGGGAGCCTGACGTGGGATTCGACCCCGGGTCTCCAGGATCGCGCCCCGGGCCAAAGGCAGGCACCAAACCGCTGCACCACCCAGGGATCCCGAGCATAACTTTTATATTAACTATTATAAAAGAGCAAATCACCACAAAGTTTCTGTATTTTAAGCCTGTCTCGTTCAGATAAAGTCTGCAGAGCATGTCAGTTTAAAAAAAAAAATTTTTTTTTTAAGATTTTGTTTATTTATTCATGAGAGACACAGAGAGGCAGAGACATAGGCAGAGAGAGAAGCAGGCTCCATGCAGGGAGCGCCATGTGGGACTCAATCCTGGGACTCTAGGATCACGCCCTGGGCTGAAGGCAGACATTTCAACTGCTGAGCCACCTACGCATCCCAGAGCATGTCAGTTAACTCTGGCATCATATTTTAGTTTCTTTCCCTCTGTTCTATCTCTTTCTTAAATAAATAAATAAAATCTTTAAAAAAAAAAAAAAAAAGCTGAATATAGAACATCTTGTCTTACCAGAAAGTGCTAAAGCTCTCAAAGACTACTAGACTCAGGAACCAATTTGGAACTCTCACTGGCCACAGATGAAACAGAGCATCAAAAGGAATAATAACGGCAGTAGATTGAAGCACAAGAAATATGTTTAAATATAATAGTTTATAATGACACTTTTAAAACAATCCATTGGTCATATTTGGATGAGATTAGAGAACCAATTAATTAATTTTGGAAATCAGTAAATAAAGGGAAAAAACCAAGCATGATCTGTTTTTCCTGTGCAAATTGTACCTCAGGATTACCAAGTAATTCATGAGCATGAAGGTTCAATTTAGAAGAATTCTACCTAAGGAGTTATAGACTATCACCATGTATGACCCTAAAGGAGTAATAAATATAGTCAGCGTTCTTCAGTGGCTATTAATATTACAAGAAGACAGGTATCCTCATGATGAAAGTATACACCATCATCTAAAAATCTTCCTATCAAAACACCTAAATCTGATTATGCCTCTATACCTAATTGTCAATCTGTAGGAAAAACCAATAGAATTTCCTATATGTTTGAGTCAGAGGAACAAGTTAAATGATACTATGTGGGTGTAATCAAAAAAGTCTAGCCTGGGGAAGCCACAGGTCAAATGGCTTGGTTTCTTCACCAAGCCATTTATATATTATGTAATATATAAAATATGTATTATATTTAATATCACCAAATATATTTTTTTAAAAAGACAAAATAGAACACTAGTAACATATAAATTGAGATGATATTGATTGCGAATTCAGAGTTCCAGGGACCTGTTTTTGGGAGAAGGGTAAAAATATTGATGCGCTTCAGGTTCCAAGTTAAATATACTTATAAAATTCTTACCAATCACTAAAAGGGGAGTGTATGATTTCCAAGCCGTTAAAGGGGAGGATAAAAGAGAAAGCAAGCAGTCAGTTAAGGAGAAGAAAAATAGTGAAAAGGTAGGACTAAAAAAAGCTGTAAAATATGGTAATAGATATAAATAGTTATATCATTGCCAGTAAGTATAAATGGACTAAATTTCATAAAGCTGAAAATTGGCAGCCTAGAAAGAAAATTCAGTATGTGTTGTGTACCTGAGACACATCTAAAATTCATTACAGAACGGCTGAAAACTGAAACGAGTCCATCAAGTTGGGAAGGCAGTCTTAGCTCTTTTAAGAGAGCATGGAGAAGACCATCTGGATGGCTCAGTTGGTTAAGCATCAGCCTTTGGCTCAGGTCATGATCTCCAAGTCCTGAGATCAAGCCCTGTGTCAGGCTCCCTGAACAGCAGGGAGTCTGCTTCTCCCCCTGCTTGTGCTTACTCTCTCTCGTAAATATATAAAATCTAAAAAAAAAAAAAAAAAAAAGTCATTAAGAATTTATTCTGTTCTCTTTTCAGGTTAAAGAAAAAGGAATTTAGTTTAGAAGAAATCTATACCAACAAGAATTATAAGTCTCCTCCTGCAAACAGGTGGGTTCATATATAGGAACTGATAGGCTAGGAAGGCTTCTGAAGTGATGGATGTCAACTTCCAATCCTTTTACTTCAGAAAGGATTTTATGTTTAATTATTGGAAATAACACAAATTGATATTATTTCCTAGCATTTGAACTGGGGCTGGTGGTAGAATGGGACAGGAACATGTGTTGAGTTAGGTAGGTACAGAAAACGTCTTACTTCAGTTTGTACTTAACGTTTTTAGCAAATATGTCCGCTGTTTTCTTCAGGACTAATAATTGTCAATCTTCAGGTACGATTCCAAACCCAAATACAGATGAATTTCATTCGTTAAGTCTCAATTCAGTTCAGACTTGTCCAGTTGCAGTTTTTTCACTGTGTTCATATGTTATGTATCTATAAATATTTCTTTTTCATACTAAAAAGATAGATACTGGCCAGAGGAAACAGTTGAGTAAGTAGTCATCAGTTGTTTTAGCCCCTTCAGGTTGACCTAAAGGGTTGGTGGCTCGGGAGATGGACCATGTGAGTCAGTGTGTTGATTCTTTTTTGTGCTCCACCCTCAGGTGTTTGGAGACCATCTTTGAAGAACCCAAGGAACGAAATGGTACACTAATCTCAATCAGTCAACAGAAGAGAAAACGAGTTCTAGAATTTCAGGATTTTACAGTCCCACGAAAGAGGAGAGCTCGTGGTAAGATCAAGGTGGCAGGCAGCTTTACCAGGGCCCAGAAGGCGGCTCTGCAGAGTCGAGAGCTGGATGCTCTGTTGATACAGAAACTAATGGAATTGGAGACCTTTTTTGCCAAGGAAGAGGAGGAGCAGGAGCGATCATCTGATTGTTGAGAAGCAATTCAGTTTGGGAGGGTCTCAATTTTAGATTTTCCAGGCTCCTTGGAAGAGGTTGCCTAATTTTGCCCTACCACCCAAACTACTCCAAATGCAGTCCATGGATTTTTACCTATTTTAAGGTGCAACCTTTTTAGGAAATGGTGAAGGAGGGTCCTCTACTTCTACTGCTGAGTATTGAACCTCAGGAATGCTCCCTTTCTCCTGGAAATGGTCCTGAATGACATCTGGCCTCCTCCCCCCACTTGCCATCCACAGGAGGAGGACACAGCACACCTTCAGTAACACTAGGATTCCAAGGACTCACAGCATTTGCACGTCTGTGTGAAAGTTCTGCGTTGTTTACGGTGGTGCTAGACCAAGATTATTTAGAGACGTGGCCTAGGGAGGGGGACCTGGCGTCCTGTCTTGTGTGGTCTCACCGGCTCATTTCAGTAGTTGAGGAAAGATGAGCTGTTGTTTCCTAATCCTTTGAGTCCGTCTGTCCAGAACTGTGTGCGTGTGCGTGTGTGTGTGTGTGTGTGTGGCTTTTTCCCATCATTTTCTCCCCTTTGTGACTGTGGGTCACTAGTGCCAGAGGAGCCCGTCCAGGCCCCATTTGAAGTAAGTTGCACTTTTTAATGTTGTGGTGTTATTTTCATTTGTTTTATTTTTTTTTTAATTTTTTATTGCTGCATGTTTGGAGCCTTTAAATGTGATTTCAAAAGAAAAATTTTTAAGACATTAAGGAGAAAGACAATAGATGTCTTCTGAATATATGACAGGCATTTGACCCAGTATATCAGTGCATGGTATGGGACGATGAAGAGACATTTTCCCATCATGTGTTTCAAGCGCCCCTTCCCCATCTTCACCTTCTGGTGTAACTCATTAGAGGGAGTATTTTTTCATCTGGGTTCTCATTCTTGCTCACTAAGGAGATATGTTTATTTTAACAATGGAAGTAAGAGCAGATTTTCCTCCCAATCATTTAAAAAATATGAATGTTGGGTGTGGTCTTAAAGGGTTTTATCTGAAGTGGTAGTATAACAGTGTTGGGTACCACAGCTCAGGCGGTGATAAAGGCCAACCCAGAGTGTTAGCAGCTGTCAGAGCAACTTGCTTCAAGAGTGAGGAGTGAGACAGGATGTGGCTCAGACCCAGTAATGCAGCCTTGCAGTGGGATCGTGAAGTTCCATAGCCAGCCCTCTCTGAGGATGCCATCATATTTGGGGCTCCTATGTCAAACCTACTGGAAATTTTGTAGTGAGCCAGAGTTAGTGGAGTTCCTTCATCTGGGCCTGTGGGAGTCTGGGCAGAGGGATGCTGTGTGGGTCAGCCAGACCCAGATGTGTCATTCCTTTTCCACTTAACTCCTGTGTGCCCTTGCCCTGCTTCCCTCCAGCTCCTTCCCTTGTGTTTTAGCTTTCTTTCAAAACAAAAATTCAGAGAATTAACATTCCTTGGCTGGTGAGTGGGATGCTACGTCCAGCCTCAGGACACTGGTCACCTCTTCCCATTCTCCTAGGAGCTGCTGCTGGAAAGCATCCACCCATGGGGACTGTCAGAACTCCAGAGATATTTTCAAAGCCAGTCTGTTAGAGAAGAGTGAGTGGTGCCGTCCTAGAGTGTGTCTCTTAGGGTTCCTTTGTCTCCCCATTTGTGAGTGGGTGGGGAGATGGGGTGGGGGTGGGGGGTTTCTATGTGCCTTTCCTTTGCAGGTTGACAGTCTATGCCACACTGGAGCAGAAGAACTGACATGAGCAAGGAAAAAAAAAGTGCCACATCTGTCTTCTAGGCCCACTGCCTCAGACATAGCATTTAGTAAGTGAAGTACACACCTGGTGACCCACGGAGGCTTCTAAGGCCATGGCCAAATAGCATTAGAAGAGAGCCACATTTCTGTACTGGCTCCAGATGATGTGAACCAGATTCCGTCGTTCTACATCCGCTTTGCCCAGACTGTATAGACACGACCTGTGTTTCACCTCAGTACCTCTCCCTTCCTGGGACAGGGTCCTCAGACACTAAATGCTTCTCTCTGTCTTTTTGCCTAAGGAAGTGGGATTAATAATCCATTGCACCCTCTGACACGTTTTTAGGGAGTGCTTCTGGACAGCTTGCAAACTCCCAACCAAATCAACAGAGCCCTACTTGCCAGCTCCATTGCCAGTGTAGACAAGTCAACAGTGTGGCAGCCATGTCATCCAGCATACTGAAGTTGAGTGGGCACAACTTTGGCATCACCACTGTTATAGAGATACAATTTCAAGTTTGCCCTTTATAGGCATGGCACTTGCAAGAACCAGGAGCAGTGATTTGGAACATTGGAGGGATGGAGGAAGTAGAGGCCTGGGCCTCTCTCCTGGTCCTGGCACTCAGAGAAAAGTAGCTCTGAGGCAGCCCTGCCTCTCCTTGAAATTCTTGCCCTGCCCTCTGACTAGGGGCCTTCCCCTGCTCCAAAGTTAAGAAGGGGCCCCCACTGCAAACTTGAAATTGCTTACCTGAAGTCGAAACCTCAAGTTCTAGTCGCGCTCAGCCACACCTGTCTTAGCATCCATTTTCTTCATTGGCCTGGCCAGCTGCAACGCTATCTGTGGTCCTCGGAGCCTGTGGAAGCTGCCCACTATGGGAGGTGTTAGTTGGCTGCTGGCACACCACCTGCCCAGAGCTACAGGAGGTCTACTTCTGGGTTGGGGGCTGGTACAATTTCTGAGTATGAGGACTTCCCACCCCAAGCGGTGGGAAGTTAAAATTAACTATGATTTACTCAGCTGTGACTCAACTCCAGAGGTGTAGTGTTTTTACTATGGGAAAGAGAGGAGAAATCTCAGGTCCAATCAGGGTTCTGCCCATCAGCTTTTCACTGAAACTTCAACTATGGGTTTGTGGGGTTTTTTTCATATTTCAGTTTGTAGCTACATTTGCCCTTCATCTGCTCTCCACCCCCTTTCCCCATCTCTCCTCTTTTGGTCACCTTTCCAGTTTCATTTTTCTATTAGTTTAAATGTACCTCAACCCCCTAAAGCAGATTATGTCCACGTTTTCTTACTGACCTTACTCTAAGAGCTACAGCTGAGGGAGGTACAGTGGAAAGACATGTAGCATTTGCCTTACTTGGAGCCTGAAGAGCTTAGAAACTCATGCTGTGAATCCCAAAACTCAGTGCTCCTTTAAGAGCTGTGAAAATCATGACACTTTGTCGCAGTTTTGCCTGAAAGGGTCTTTTGTGTGGGCACCAGAGCCAGCCTGAGGTAAATTCCAGATCCTACCATCTGGGCACGATCCTTCCCCCCCAGGGCTCACTCCCTGCCCACCAGACCCAGAGCAGTGTGGAGTGTGCAGAACGGGGGCAGCAGAGCCAGGGCTTTGGTGCAGCCTAATGGAACGCACAGCCAGTGCTTCATCCCCAGGGTGGGATTCCATCTCCTAATACCATGTACATTAAGATCCGCGAAAGACCAACTTTAGTCAATGATGCTTTTCTCCCATCACCTGAGGGAGAAGTATGCAGTTGGTGCTTTCTTTAATTCCCTTGTTTTGTTTTGTTTTTTTTCTGGAAGCTTTTCCCCTGGTATCATGGAAAGGACCTCTTAAATACCACATTGTGGGTGGCTGTATCCAAAGTCTAAATTGGCCAGAGGTATGGAGTAGCCTTCCCAGGTTCATGTGAGGGAAGGGCTCCTGACCACAACTGCACTTCTAATGTAAAAAGCTGGCTGCAGAGGAAGGCTTACTTTTACAAAAATCAAAGTTTTATATTATCATCTAACCACAAATTGAGCAGCAGATGCCAATTTGATTATAAAGTGAGGGTCCCCATATAGCCCACCATCTAGCAGAGCATATTCTCAGATTTGATGCTTGTTCTTTGTGTGTCTTCATGAGCCCCTCCCTGGTGCTGAATTGGATTTGAATTCTTGGCGAGAGGCCTCAGCATCTCCTTGGGCTGGTCTGGGCCAGTAAATAGCTGCCTGAAGTGTTTATATATTATCATGGTCAATAGTTCAGTGAAATTTGTACATTTTTGGTAACATTGGCATACATGATGCCCCTGCAGTTCCTTTTCTGTTTGGTAGTTTGTGACTCTAAAATTCCCACTGTTCTGTGTGTTAATTTATGAAAATAAATTTTTTTTTGAAAATCTTTCAAATAATTCTCAAGACTGTTATTCTTAAAAGGGGGGCACCTGGGTGGCTCAGCCAGTTAAGTGTGACTCTTCATTTCGGCTCAGGTTGTGATCTCAGGGTTGGGAGATTGAGGCCCACATGGAGCTCCGTGCTCAGCGTGAGATTCTCTCTCTCCCTCTGCCTCTCTGCTCACTTGCTCTCTTTCAAAATTAATAAATAAAAATGTTTTTTAAAAAGATTTTTAAGTAATTTCTACACCCAAGACCGGGCTTGAACTTAAAACCCCAAGATCAAGAGTCACAGGCTGAGCCAGCCAAGCACCCCCATTATTCTAGTGGCTTGGTAATAAGTTAAAATTTTACCTATAATGTCGTGAGGTTTCACCATTTTCTGAAGACTGTCCTGTGCTCAGAACATGCATAAGATTCCACCTCTGGGTGACCTTCTGAGCCTGCAGTGAACCTTTAAAATTTTACGCAATGGGGATGCCTGGGTGACACAGTTGGTAGAGTGTCCGACTCTTGGTTTTGACTCAGGTCATGATCTTGGGGTTGTGGGATCAAACCGTGTGTGGGGGCTCCATGCTCAGCAGGGAGTCTGCTTCCCTCTGCCTCTGCCCCTTCCTCCTCGCACTCGCTCTCTTTCTCCCTAAAATAAATAAATCTTAAATAAAATTTACTCAGTGGTAGCAAATCATCTCATGTGAGAGAATTTGGTATTTGAGAACACTGAGATTCATTCAGATCCGAGTCATACCCACTTAAGTGGGGTAGGGTACCTGAGCAAGTATTTGAGGTGTAATTTTTAAATAGTGCCCATTAACTTTCATTTGGCAGAGGAGGAAGAAAGCAGTTATAAATTCAAGTCAAAGTATGTTTCAGGGGGTCCCTGGGTGGCTCAGTGGTTTAGTGCCTGCCTTCGGCTCAGGGCATGATCCTGGAGTCCCAGGATCAAGTCCCGCATCGGGCTCCCTGTGTGGAGCCTGCTTCTCCCTCTGCCTGTGTCTCTGCCTTCTGTGTGTGTGTGTGTCTCTCATGAAAAAATAAAATCTTTTAGAAAAAAGTATGTTTCAAATATTAACCTATTTGGAATAAGAGTTTGACTTGTTAATGAGACTACAAGGGAGAGAATATAAATAAGTACATTAACTGTAAAAAAAAGATCTTGCCTTGTATCACATCCTAGCTATGCGTGAGGTTAGGCTATGAGTCCATTCTCAGCTCTCTCTTTAGCCACTGGCAACTAATGAATGACTGAAAACATGGCTAACACCACACTGACTTGTCCCAGAAAGAAGCATGATTTCTGAGGGTGTTCTTCCTCTGTCCAAAGGAAAAGCCATGCCCAGTGTCCCTTCTTGGCCTTTTCCAATTCTTGGGTTTCTACGACACAGAATTCCGCCCATGTAGTCTTTTACATTTGGAGAGCAGTCTGCCTCACAGCTGTGCTTCTGTTAGGTTTCACAGCTACTTGGGAAGTGTACTCTCCTACACATTTTCTTTGTTTAGAAGGGAGAAGCTAATCATCTATTAAGTGTTCTTTCTTTAGCATCTCCCATTAGAATCTTGGGTTGATAGGACCTCCTGAGAATAAGAGGACTGGTCCACGCAGCTTTAAGAATCTTCTGTGGCATCCTGCCCTCTTGCAGTGATGGGACCTCATCTCTGCAGTTCCTCTGGGACTTTGCTTGAGAAGTGTTCTAGAAAATTCCTAATTTTTAAGCAACTTCCAAGGTCATAGGTGAGTTATAACATCTCAAACTTTCAATGTCTTCTCCCTTTTCACTGAGGAGTTAGAAGCAATCTGAATAAAACTTACAGGCCCTTTGCAGTTCCTAGGACAGACCACGCATGCTCCCACCTTATGATACATTCACTTGATTTGCTGCCTCCAGTCCCCAGAATGTTGCCCCACATTTCCACATGTTCTCTTAGATCTTTGCTTTCCCAGATCACCTTTCCTAATGGGGTGTGCCCTCCCATTCTACATCACCCTTGTGATACTTTATATTTTACAGCACTTACTACCACTTTGTACATTTTCATCACTGTAATGTAAGGTCCTTGAGGTCAAGGACTTTTATTCCCTCTGGGCTCTCCTGGCTCCTGAAGCACCTAAAACAGTGCCTCATATGTTTGATAGGAGCTGTGTAAACACAGGTGAACAAATGGCTGTTTTCACAGAACTTGTTGCTGCACAGACCTGGTGAAGTCCTCTTAAACTCCCTGACTGAATATGTGAAGGCCCTGATATTCTCTTTTCAATTACTCTTCAAAGGATGTGGCCAGCAGCTGCCCAGTCACAGGAGGAAGAACTAGTCTCTTCTCAGGCCCCACTCCACCCAGCTCTGGCTGCAAGTCACACCCACAGCTGGCCTCGTGTCTTTTGATTGGCTGTAGCTCACAGGTGGGAAGGGTCGGTTGAGGAATTACCCAGAACCAAGGCAGCAGACAGTGGAGTCACATACCTGGGGGGTGGTACATACACCCCAACCTGGGGCCTGCATCTCTGGCCCAAGGACTTAAGTGTGGGGTGCTAGAAGGCAGAGACTCCCAT